AAAGAATAATCCAAATCCAGAGGTTGTACAAGAGAAGAAATTATAAAATTCAGAGCAGAAGTCAATAAAATGGGGACAAAAAATAATACAAAGACTCAGTAAATTGAATAGTTGTTTCTTTGAGAAAGTAAACAAAATAGACCAATCCTTAGCCAATCTTACAAAAAAGGAAAGAAAAGACACAAATTAATATAATTAGAAAAGAAAAAGGTAAAAGTACAACAATTTCCTGTTGATATCCAGAAAATTGTTAGTGACTACTTCATAAACATTTATGCCAAAAAGTTGGAGGACTCAGAAGAAATGGAGAGATTCATAGCCCAAAACAAAAGCAAGAAACCTTAATAATCTTAAACAATCCAATACCATGATGAAGTTGAAGCAATAATAATAATTAAAATCTATGAACTAAGAAAAGCTTGGGACCTGATGAATTTGCTACCACATTCTACAAGAACTTCAGGGAAGATATAACACCAATACTCCTCAAACTCTTCAATAAAATTGAAAAGGAAGGAATATTTCCATAATCATTCTCAGAAGCTAACATTATCCTGCTCCCAAAACCAGACAAGGATCCAACCAAATAAAGGGAATTTTAGGTTAATTTCTCTAACGTACATAGATGGAAAAATCTTCAACAAGATACTAGCAAACAGAATGCAAAAATCACCAAAATGATGATATACCATGGCATGTCCCCGAGATGCAGGAACAGATCAAGACATGAAAATTAACAAATGTAATTCATCATGTAAACAGAAGGAGGGACAAAAATCATAATTGTCTCAATAGATGCAGGGCAAATTTTTGACAAAATTCAACATCCATTCATGATAAAAACCCTGAAGAAAATATGTATAGAAGGATCCTATCTCAATGTTATATAGGCCATTTATGACCAACCTAGTGCCAACGTCATATTAAATGGGGAAAAATCTGAGAGCTTTCCCTCTAAAGTCAGTAACAAGGATACAAATCACTACTTGTGTTCAGCATAGTACTTGAAGCATTAGCCAGACAAATTAGGGAAAAGAAAGAAATAAAAGGGATCTATATATAGGAAAGGAAGAAGAAATTATTTGCAGGTGATATGTCCCTCTACCTAGAAGACCAAAATATCCTATGAAAAGACTCTTAGATTTAATAATCAATTTCAGCAGTATAGTAGGATACAATATTAACACACAAAAGTCAATAGCATTCCTATACACTAATAATGAACTCACTGAAAAAGAAATTAGGAAAATAATACTATTGACAATAGCATTAAAAATAAAATACACAGGCATTAGCCTAACTAAGGAAGTGAAAGACCTCTACAGTGAAAATTACATTAAGGGGACATCAGAAAATGAAAAAAATGTCTCCTGTTCTTAGAAGAAACCACGTATTCAAAATGGCCATACTTCCAAAATGATATCCAGATTTAATGTAATTTCAATCAAAATACCAACATCACAGAGCTAGAAAAAACAATCCCCAAATTTATATGGAATCAGAAGAGACTATTAAAAGCCAACCTGAACAGCAAAAGCAAAGCAGGTGGTATCACAACATCAGATGTGAAGTTATGCTAAAAAGCTACAGTGATTAAAGCAGGTTGGCACTGGCACAAAAACAGGCAAATGGATCAATGAAACTGAATAGAAAAAGCAGAAACACCCTTAGCCACAGTCAGCTATTTGATTTTGACAAAGAGCCAAAAACATACACTGGAGGAAAGATACACTCTTTAATAAATAGTCCTGGGAAAACTGGATACCACTTGCAGAAGATTGAGTCTAGAACCATCTCTCTCACCATGTACTAAACTAAAATAAAAGTGTAACAAAGATCTAAATGTTAAAATAGAAGCAATTTGCTGGAAGGTAAAATAGATACAACTCTTGAATATGTAGGCATGCACAAGTACTTTCTGAACAGAACCCCAATAAAACAGGAAATAATACCTAGAAGCAAAAAAAAAAAAAAAAAGAAAAGAAAAAAAAGTACAAATGGCCACTTACTACATAAAATATGCTCATCATCTCTGGCCATTAGAGAAATCCAAATTAAAACTGATAGTACTGAAATACTATCTTATCTCTGAGAGAATGGCTACCATGAAAAATCTAATAATATCAAATGCCGCTGAAGATGTTGGAAGAAAGGAACTCTCCTACATTGCTGTTGGAAGTGTAAACTAGTGCAACCACTACGGAAATGACTGTGCAGATTCCTCAAAAAACAAATTCCACTTGACCTACTTACCCTCTCCTAGGTATCATCCCCAAAGAGGTAAAATGATCATATTACATGGATACCTGTGTACCCATGTTTATAGTAGCACAATGAATAATAGATCTTGGAGACAGTGCTTATGTCCATCAACAGAGGAATGGATTAGTAAAATGTGATATACACATTGGGGTACTAAGCAGTCATAAAGAAAGATAAACTTGAGGATTCATAGGTGAATGGATAAAACTTCGGAACATAATGTTAAGTGCGAGACACATGAACTGAAGTATTCCATGGTCTCTTATATGAGAAATGCCATCTAAATAAAGAACAAAACAGAAGAGAGATAAATAAGAAGTGGGAAGAAGTTAAATACTTCCCCAAATCACATATTCTATTGTTTTAAAAATATTTCAATAAATATTCTGATTGATTTCAATTATGCTACTACTTTATTTTAGTTCTTTGAGAAGAAAGTTTTGTGTTATTACAGTTATAATTATGTATATATTATGTATATAAATATGTGTATAATAAATAATTATGCAATAATTATAAGACAATTGTTATTATCTTATTATTTGGTAATGAAATTTTGTTTTATTTTTTCATAAAACATGGTGATTGCTGCTTGCCAGTGTGACCTGGTGGAAAGGAAGGCAAGCTTGTAAAAACTTATGTGTGTCCTCCTCCACCTTATTCTTTTTTTTTTTAAATTTTAAAAATAAAATGAGGAAAATATTAACAGACAGTCGACATTTTACAAAATAGCAAAGGAACAGTACAGACAGTACAGAGTTACAAACAGAGTGGTAGGGAATTAACAATGCTTGTTGTATTACATATTGATATCTTGAAAGTGGTTTCTCATGAAAACGTATATAGACATACAAAGCTGATCAACCAAGGACTCATTGACAGTTTCTTTCAGCAAAGAAATACAAGACAGTAGAACAGCCATGTTAACTATCCTGCATATACATACATACAAACTTTCTCCTTCTTTGCCTTCTCTTTTCCCATATCCCAGTTATCCTTTACCTTTGAGTGCTTTCCTATCAATTTACAATGTCTATCATATCTCCTAGTTTAAATTAATTCTTTCAGGCTTTACACTAGAGAAACAATGAGATGTTTGCACATGTATGTTTGATTTATTTCACTTATGATTATGGTCTCTAGTTGCGACCATTTACCTATAAAAGCCTCAAGTTTATCTTTCTTTACAGCTGAGTAATATTCCATTATATAAAAGTACCACAATTTTCTGATCCAATCCTCAGTGGATGGACATTTGGGTTGCTTCCACATTTTAGCAATTACAAATTGTGCTGCTATGAACATAGGTGCACATACATCACTGTGATATGATGTTTTTAGATCTTCTGTGAAAATACCAAGCAGGGGGATAGCTGGGTTGAATGGGACCTCTAGACCTAGTTTTCAGAGGAATCTCCAAACTGATTTCCACAGTGGTTTCAGCAGTCTGCATTCCCACCAGCAGTGGAGAAGGGTTCCTATTTCTCCACAGCCTCACCAGCATTTGTTATTGGTTGATTTCTTAATGCTAGCCATTCTTACTGGGGTAAGGTGGAATCTCAGTGTTGTTTTAATTTGCATTTCTCGAATGACTAATGATGTTGAACATTTTCTCATATATTTATTTGCCATTTGTATCTCCTTGTCTGAGAAGTGTGTATTCATCTCAGCTGACCATTTTTGGATTGGGTCTTTGAATTTTCCTCCACCTTATTCATCAGATAGGACACTAGGTGACTTCTGGATGTTCCCCAAAGTCAAAATAACTATGAGAGGTAAATGTCGGAATTGATTCAGGATATTGAGGCAGCCATGACAGTGTACCTAAAGACACTCACAAAAGGACACTTCCAGAACTGCTTCAGAAAGTGGCAAGAAGTGGTTTTTAAAGCAAGAGGGAATATTTTGAGGGAGATTAATGACATGTCCTTTACTATAATACTTTTTAAAAAAATTTAAACAACATGTTTTTATCACATGTCTCATATATGAAAGAGATTTGGATATATTTTACTTACTCATTTTATACTATGAAATGTACTTTATCAAGGTAAGTAAACTATTTGATGACAAACAATACTTCTTGATCTATATTAATTTATATTACTAAGAATAATACTAGGAGCTAAAGAACTAATTTTTATTTATTGTAAAGTACCTAATTAAAAGCTTAATGTCTTATAGCTAATAGTTGTAATTAAAACAAAATATTTCCTAAAACCTAGTTGTTGGAAATAACAAGCTATCGATTAATGTAAATTTGAAAAGATACTGAAACTTTTGTTATTGTTGCTCGGGATTGAACCCAGGGCCTCAAGACATGCTAAGCAAGAACCCAAACACTGATTGCACCCCAAGCCAAACAGTAAATTTTAAAGAGAAAGTCTAATTGTATGCTTTTAAATGGAAGAATTATAGAAGTCATTTTTTTGACATTTTAATATTTAATCATGTGAAGAGCTGGCTAAATTTTTCTCAATGTCATCAGTAGAGGGCAGCAAAGATTCAGGTACACTAATGTGTTCTTAGGTTCAAGGGAATCTGCTAAGGAAATTTTTTTGTTGTTGCTCTTAAGAAGTTTGTTCTGGCTTGCCTTTTAATGAAGTGCTTTGGTAATAACATATAGGAATTTGCTTTAAAACTGTAGCTGTGGTTCAGATATTTAACCTGCTCTTCCCTTAAGTGCTATAGATCTTTTCTTAATGAGAACATGCATTTCTTTTTTTTTTGTAATCTAGGGAGTACCAGGGCCCGGAAGCTATGACATTAAAAGTCAATTTCAGAAGACTGAAAGTATCACACCGAGTGTAATTGGTGCGTCCCCTGCTTTTCTTTCTCAATCCCAGGTAATGGCTGATAGCCCTTTTCATATAGTGTCTAATAGGCCTAGGCCTAAGGTGAGGCCAGCAGCAAATCCAGTAGATTTAAGGGGGTTATAAATAGGAAAGTGGTATTTAAGCAAATGAGAAATAGACATGATCTGGGCCAAATACAGGCCAAGGAATGAAGTGAAGTAACATTAGAATATTAATAAAACTGATGAATATTTGAATTGGAACAAAAAGTTGAACATTTTCAGTGAAGCTGACTTGCATATGTGAACATTCAGTTAGGGATATAAGAAAGGATTACTTCATTCTGAATTTTAAAATATACTTTGTCATGAGTGTGCAAAGGGTTAATGAGCAGCGTGTGAGGACTATGTGTGTTTCCAAGAAGGTTCTGTGCAGCCTGCTCGTACGGAGCAACCAGGGCCACTGGGCCCGCCCTCCTGATGCCTCACGGACTGCACATACTCCGTGGTGATCGGCTCGCAAGGGCCACGGAGCATCTTAGCAGGAGTTGAAGGCACTCAAGATGTTTCTAAGGCAAGGCAATTAAAATACTGACAAATATTTATAAAGTGGAAACCTCCAGACTAGGATAGTTCGGATATTTATCCACTTGTGCTACATTTACTTCTGATTATTTTATTTAACTTGGGAAGGTTACTTTCAGGTGGCTACAGATTATTATTCTGGTTTCGTTATACTTAGAGACAACTCCTTGGAGACAAGTAGATATATTGTAGGTACATTTTGTAGAGATAATTAAGATGACTTTTTAATGGGTTAGGTGTTGTAGTGACCGACTGGGAAGCATCAAGAATGAATAGTAGGTTTCTTTCTTGAGCAACTTAATGGTACTTAAGTTGCTACACAAGTGGATGTGTGAAGAATAGGCTATGGTGTGTGTATGCTCTTGATTTTTTTAAAATAAAGCTCTATAGCTAGGAGCCTCAGTTTTTATGCTGCCTGATGTGTAGCCTTAATTTTATATCACTTGGCACTATTCATATTATAAATATATTTCCAGATGTGGAAAAGAAAATGATATCAGTTTTGTTTGGGAGATGATAAAGAAGAGAATAATAGCTTTGATGTAAAAGATGTGTGGGAAGTAGAATAAAGCATGATTGTCCAGCAGGGTGGTGCTAGTGTTCTGTTGACTATGAACAGATATATTAATAATTACAATGGACAATATAATGAAGTTAATAAGACTGACTTAGGGCACAGAATTTCTGATTTATAGGAATAATGACAGGTATGTTTCTGGGACATTTTTATCATTGATTTAAGGATTTGTCTATTTGTCTAAATGCATTGAATTTCCTTATGTCTTCAAGTACTCATTTTCAAAACATAACATTTTCTTTATAACAGTAGTTCTCAGGCATAAATGCACATTCGAAGTACCTGGGGGAAATTTTAATATATTTGCATGCCCAGGTGCCAAAGTAGCCTTTTACTCTTCCCCTTAGAGATTGATTCCATTGGCCTAAATTACAGCCCTGGTCTCAGTTAGTTTTTCAGATCCTCAAGTGATTCTAGTGTCAGGGTTTGGAATTATCTCCCCTCCCCTCAGGGATGTGGGTCAAACCCAGAAGTCCTCTACCACTGAGCTATATCCCAGCCCTTTCTTTTGTTTTGAGACATGGTATTGCTAAATTGCCCAGATTGGCCCCAATCTTGTGATCCGCCTGCCTCAGTCTCCCAAGTACTGTGATCAAGATGAAACACAAAACCGACATGTTTGTTACCTACAAGGAATAGTGAGGACGTGAGAGTGGAAGCAGCCATGCCCTGCAGCTCATGCGTACTCTCCTTCAAGACCTAGGCGTGACATTAGCCAGTGCTGTGGGTGTATTCATGCCATGGGGATCAGGAAATGTTACACACTGAGACTCTTTCAGTGGCACAGCATCCCATGAGAAGGGAAATGGGGGACAGTAACAATTCTTTCATTATAAAGTTTTACAAATACATACTTTGGCTTTTTCTAACATGCGAATATTTCATGAATTCAAAAATGAAAATAAATCAGTAACACTGGAAAGCATTTTTAAAATATCAAAAACTGAAAGCATATGGAAATAAGTGAGTAGTTGTATACCAAATGAATACCTTTAACCACACTGAAGGGTTTAAAAAGAAGGAATGATGTATGTAATCACAGTATTTGACTATATTAATCTTAAGTGGGATTAAGGGGTGGATAGTTGAACTAAGAACTGCAAACAAATTGGGAATTAGTTTTAGTTGTTTGGTTTACTGGAAGGGTGTATGTGAAGCAATCATGAAACTACTTTAGACATGTTACAGTTTTGAGCAAAAAGTTATATTTGTGAGCTATGGTTTTCAGTGTGCAGGAAGGTACATACAAATATTGGTTGGGAGACATGAGATAGGACCCTGTGATATGGATTTAAATTGAATATTCCACTGTGAACCTGTGAGTTCTCATATATCTATATATCTATATATCTATATATCTCACATGTATGTCCATGTATATAGCTTTGTCTGATAAGTAAGTCATAAAATGTAGACACCACAGTAGTGAAGAGCATTTCTAGCACACAGATCTTAGACTCATTCTGTTCTATATTAAAAAGGAATAGAATTCCTCTGACACATGACTAATTTCAGTGTAGGTGGAAGATGAATCTGTAATATCTTGTTATGTCAGAAAGCTTTAAAAAACAATGAAAGAATAGAATATATCATAAGCGCATAGGAATCAACTTGAAGGACACTCTGCCCCTGTAAAAAGTTTAGTAATGAATTATAAATCACTAAAACTGGCATTGCGAGTGCTTATGACAATAAATAGATAATTCAGTAGTTAGAAAGACAGATAGATAATGAAAGGAATAGAGAAGGGAGTGCTCACAGTAGAGCACTGTATGCATTCTGATAAACATAGGCTAAAGTCATCAGTGAAGAAGAAACTGTGTGCCTCCAGATATGATACCCTGAGAAATCACAGCTTCACCTATTTAGTGATCTCTGCAGTAATACATAAGTGGATATGATTATGAGGGACCAGAAGATGAGCCCCAAATAAAGGAGTTTCTAGTACACAAATGAGGGATATAATATTCTTCCCAAAATACCAAAGTTGAGAAATGCAAAGGAAAGCTGTAGAAATATCCCACATTAAAGAGGTTAAATAGACATGATGACTAAGAACAATATCTGATCCTGTACCAAGGAGAAAATGCAATAGAGGCATTATTAGACCCACTGACAATTTGGAATATGAATACTGCATGGTTTCTCTTCTATAAGAATCTGAAAATATAAATAATTTAAAGAGAAAAATAGAAAATAGGTGGTAGGAAATAGGGAGATAGACTTCGTGGGGATGGGAAGATGGGGAGGGAAGAGGGGAAGGGAAGTATAAGAATCGCAGACATTCCTTGTTTAACAATCTACCTGCTTAACTACTGTTCAGACTTATACCTCATTCATACCTACCACGCAGGAACATGAGTGGTATTGTGGCCTTGTGGTGGTTCTTCTACAGTGATTTTTGCTGATTATACTGTATAGTACAGTACGGTAGTTTTATGTTCTGTCATAAATTACAGTACTGCATGCAAGAGTTTTACAAATAAAAGCAAAGTCATCAAGTTGGCGTTTCATTTGAAGCTTCTTTATTCTGAATATCGTAATGTACATGCTCCATACAATTCATCATTTACGACCAAGTCATTTAATGACTTGGTTACGGGAACTGAAATTCAGTTGTTAAATGAAAAATGTCTGTACTATGATATGGGTATGTACCAATTATCTATGATGACTAATTATCATGTATAGCTGCATATACTAATAAAAATAAGTAAATATAGTGTATCCTCATCTACTTATTCACTGGATCTGGCCCTGTGGGACCAGTGGCTCTTCTTCCCCCCAAATTATATATTTACAATATCATATACTGTACATATATTTGTATGTATATTTAGAGGTAAAGAATGACTACATATGTAACTATCTATTGAAT